TTTCAGGTCCATTCACTCCTGCCGAAATTGTTACAGTAATACACTTTTAGCTGATGACATTGTATCCCTAAATGTAGCCCATGGACGACGCAGGGAATAACCTTATGCCAGACATTGAAGAACAGAAGGAGACATGTGATTGTTGTCTTGGCTACTTCAGAAACATCTTTGCAACACGGTGCCTATACACGCCGTGGCAGCAGCCACGACCAATGTTAATATTCATGTTATTATGACCAGTAAACATGCGATGTCACAAAGTGCGTTGACGTTACTTTGGAATGCGTCGCTTTGGAATCACTTTGGCGACATTGCGTGACGTCAACTGCAGATTTTGTTTAATTGTTTAAAATAAATCCGCTGAAAAGAAAAACGTGCGTCATCTCGGGCTGTGGGAGGTCACATCAAGCTGTTACATTCTGATATACGTGGAATGGACGTCAATGTAACATTAAACCTAACTATAAAGGAGACCAATGGGAACGCCTCATCTGTTTCATAGTTACATCTTCGCATTACGATTCAGAGTGACAAAACAAGACTGTATGACAAGAGGGATAACTTCAACTTTCCAATAGTCAACTTTCCCTTCAAGTCGAGCAATATTCCAGCAGCTCAAGGTTACACACAACCAAATGTTTTCCCATAGACTTCTATAGTAACGTTATATCTTTTTTGAAAATAACTAGGCATTCAACAGCCATTACATTTACATATATGCACAGTCTGGCCTTAAAGCTGCAATAAAAACACAAATTTTGGCTAGGTTAGTCAGCTCCTTTTCCGAGTACAGGAAGCTGAACACACCAACCCCAGTTCCGCACCAAATGTCGCCTACTTGAAAATATCTGTGCTCACATAAAGCACAAGTCATCTTGTTAAAAAAGTCAGCACCAAATATTGAAAAATATGGGCAGTTTTAATTGCTGGATGGATGTACATTTAAAAGACATAAAATTCTTACACAATATCATCCAATCACAGCCTGCAGATGTCTCTTGATCTGCACTGAAGGCTCCCTACGAAAACCGCACTGTCACAACCAGTTCTGATTTGGTGTAGTAGAACCTGTAAAGGTCTTGGTGTCTTCATTTCACAACTTTGGAGATAGAATCGAGTGTGCTATTTCTACCAAGATTTCAAGGAGTTGTTTGATCAAAGTTGCAGCATTCAAGGCCTCACTGAAGCGTTCAATATGTTTTGGGGTAGACTTGGTGAGGACATTTCCAAACTTGACGCGACAATGACAAAATAATGTCAGATGCAATTCCCCATTCTGACTTGTACCATACGTTCCCTATTTTTTTCAGTTGAACAATCGACTTGTTTGTTTTATTTACTAACTCTTAAAAAAGCTGGGTTTTAGAATTAAAGCTGTGTTTGCAAAAAAACAGTCTCTGTGTCTATGATGACACATTGCACATTGTTGTAAGTGTAATATTGCAGGACGAGACACATGTCGTATTGTGTCGCCTACAGCAGAAACTTCGTCGCCTGAATGCCTGTAAACACGCCTCTATCTATGTTCCTGTATTCATTTGCATGACGTAAAACATGGCTCTTCGTTTAAAAAATAGTTTTGATTGAAAAGTAAAAAAATATCCGATGTACACAAAGATGAAAAATTATCCGATGTTGTAAACAAAATAGCTTGTATCTACTGCCAGGTATGTGGTTGACACATGGTAACCAAGACGAGAAATTTATTTTTGTCTGTCGGGGAATAGTAATAACTTCATGTTAAACCAAACAAGGTCCAACTTTATTTGGCAGAGGCACAATACAGAATTTCTTTGAGAAACAGACCAATAAACGTATCATTTGGATATACTGACCGCAGATTATCTTCAGCATTGTGGTTGAGATTTTCTAGAATTCTAATATTTTACAATTAAACATCTTTGAGTGAGTGAGTATGGTTTTACGCCGTTCTAGCAGTAATATCAATATGAGATACCAGGTGAGGTGAAATGGGGTAAAATGGGGTTGGACTTCGCGTCCAAGATTATGGCACTTATATAGCAACGTGCATGCACGTGTGTTTGTGTGTGTGTGTGTGTGTGTGTGTGTGGGTGGGTGGGTGGGTGGGTGTGGGTGGGTGTGTGTGGCTGCTTGTACTAGTCCGGACTGATGCCGGTTTATAGTGCTAGCTCACTGAGATACCATGCTGCAGTTTAACATGAATACCCCACTCAGACACAGTTTACTGACTCCGAGCCGACCAGTCCTTGTTTAAGCCCCTTAATACCGAGCGCCAGACAGGGTAAGAACAAGTACCATCTTTTAACGTCTTTTGGTATGACGCGATCGGGGATCGAACACAGGACCTTCCGCTCTCCGGGCGGACGCTCTACCTCTAGACCACGGAGGCGGTCCTGTACACAAAGACTACACACGTAATACAATGTAGTATAAAAGTGATATTACTGTGGACGTAATCTTGAGATTATATATGTTGTACGTCATGCTGACTACAATATGTTTAAGATTGGATAGAATATACGTCAAACGTGGACAATATATCTACGATTCCGTATGCAATATGACATTCATCAAGAGGGAACAATATATCCACGATTCCGTATGCCAGATGACATTCATCAAGAGGGAACAATATATCTACGATTCCGTATGCCAGATGACATTCATCAAGAGGGAACAATATATCTACGATTCCGTATGCCAGATGACATTCATCAAGAGGGAACAATATATCTACGATTCCGTATGCCAGATGACATTCATCAAGAGGGAACAATATATCTACGATTCCGTATGCCAGATGACATTCATCAAGAGGGAACAATATATCCACGATTCCGTATGCCAGATGACATTCATCAAGAGGGAACAATATATCTACGATTCCGTATGCCAGATGACATTCATCAAGAGGGAACAATATATCTACGATTCCGTATGCCATATGACATTCATCAAGAGGGAACAATATGTCTACGATTCCGTATGCAATATGACTTTCATCAAAAGAGGATAATATATCAATGTGTCCGATTCCGTACGCTTAAGCAAGCATTTCAGGAGACGACAAGTCGTCTATTATTCCTTATTTTAAAGGAAATATGTCATGACGACACTTATGGAATGCCTATATCTGACAAGGGCTGTCATGCACTGTGATACCTGTCAAAATAAACTTATCATTGAAGTTGTTTATGTAATGTTTTTTATGCTTTAGGTGACAGAATAACGACAAGTATGACTCACGCCGCAAATATGTAGATTAAAACTGCCCCAAGTTCGTAAATAAGCCCCACAACAAGCTTATCGCTCAAATGTAATGCCAAAGGTGCAATACCCGCTACTGGCATGATGACGTAGGCATTGGCACCTTCCGCCTCTGCCGTTGACGCTTATTTATTTTTATTTCGATATTAAAAAAATGTGCATCCATAACTTGCATGATTGATGACATAAAAACAGTCATACGGGATTTCTAATGTATTTAAGGAGCAATTAGGCTTTGGGAACTGGTAATACGGATGGGAGGGAAACGTTCTGGAATAAAGAACGATTTGAAATAGATCATCACATAGATGAATAGGTATTACCCTTATAAGATCTGCTGATGCACGTGTTGTGACTGTGGAAATGGCAGTGTATATATGTGTGTATTACACACCTCTCACACATCATATCATTCATGACCTTTCACACACGCAATCACACGACAATTTATCATTAGCATTCACTGTAAATAACACACATTATCACACATTAACTATCACACACACACACACACACACAATATCACGCATTAACTATCACACTGACATGATCACACATGAACTAACACACACACAGTATCACGCATGAACTATCACAAGCGCATTATCACGCATTAACTATCACACAAACATTATCACACATTAACCATCACACACGCATTAACTATCACACACACAATATCTCGCATCAACTTTCACACTGACATGATCACACATGAACTATCACACACACAATATCACGCATGAACTATCACAAGTGCATTATCACGCATTAACTATCACACACACAATATGTCGCATGAACTATGACATGCATTATCACGCATTAACTATCACACACGCATTTTCACACATTACATTTTTCTTTCATAACCAATCACAACAGTGAGAACTTCTCTAAGTGCATTGAAAAGTGACGATTGTGATGAAAAGGGGTTTAAGGTCGCGTTCAAGATTCTTGCAGGCACGTGTGTGTGTGTGTGTGTGTGTGTGTGTGTGTGTGTACTAGTCCGGACTAATGCCCTGTGGCAGGCAGAGTAACAACAAGTGCCATCTTTTAACGTCTAATGGTATGAAGCGGCCGAGGATCGAACCCCCGACCCTCCGCACTCCAGGCGGACGCTCTATCCACTGGACCACGGAGGCGGTCTCTGTCAACATCAACACTTATGAACTATTTGTTAAACTTTGCATGCCCTCTGCAGCTACTTCGACAATACAGAAGCAAGGAGTAGAACAGTAATATGATCCAAAACGTCAACGCAAGAGAACAATCACTCTCGATTTCTGCCGAAACAGATTCCTTTGAGCTTAAAGGGCGAAATAGAGGTAAATAATTACATGAATGGATCACTTTAAATACTTGATGGCACCAAGGCTAAGTATGTCCGGCTGCCCGACCTGTCCATCCGCCACTAAGAAGTTGCATTAAAAATACGTATTATTTTCCCATCACCGCGCCCAGCAATACTCCTAACTCTTTACGAGGACATCGTCATAAAGGCAAATTCTGCCTCCAAACATATCACTCAACAATTTTTATTTATTTTTTAAAAAAAGAAATGTGACAAAATGAGAAGTTTAATCGCAGCTATAATACGGAAATAACATAAAAACAACACCACTTTCGTCTTGGAGCATTCCATTCGCCAACACCTCCTGTTCGCTATATTTATTTACCTGTCTGAGAATGGACTGCGCTCTGAGTGACAGGTGCTTGAATCTACGTTGACGTGTGTTGATGGAGCGGCATGGAGACGCGAATGTATGGCAACTTTGATCGGGGGTACCGACATCCGTCATAAGGGGCTTGCTGCAGAGGAGGGATCACACACCGAGGAAAGGGGTACAGGAGAACGGACGCGGTCCTGGGTATGCTGAGTGGTCCATTGGAAGGATAACCATGGTTAAAGTATCCCTTCTATTTCTCGTCTCACTTTTGAACGAGAAGTTTAGGTTGAAAGGTGAGTTTATTTTTTCCTTCATATACACTTTTCAAAAAATCTCTTTTTAATATTTTTTGTATATTTATCATGACAAAAACCCAAGCATAAAAAACATCCTTAAACAACAATCGCAATAATATATTATATATTAATTATCTAATATCTCTTTGAAACATGTTATTAAATTTATGGAAAGGGCATCGGATAAATACCAATATCCTTGCAAAAGTAATTAAAAACGTTTAGTTACATATATTTTTGAAACTTGCAGCATTCAACAAAATAGCTCTAGATGTGTTCATTCTATTGGGGGCGGTCGGGTAGCCTTGTGGTTAAAGCGTTCGCTCGTTACCGCGAAGACCCGGGTTCGATTCCCGACATGGGTACACTGTGTGAAGCCCATTTCTGGTGTCCCCCGCCGTGATATTGCTGGAATATTGCTAAAAGCGGCGTAAAACCATACTCACTCACTCATTCTATTGGTTGCACCTATGTCAGTTGCACAAGGCGCATATGCTTGCTCAGCATCTTCTTCCCAGATAAAAAAGATAATCGTTCTGGGAATAATTTGTTTTACCTATTTACTTCAAATTTATATGTTTTTAGAATTTTATTTCAATATAATTTAAAAGGAAATTATTTTTATTGATGTTATTTCGAAAACAAGTCAGAGATGTTTTTTTAAGCTTCCAGTTTATGTGTTTATTTCCTTTCATAGTTCGTTACATCGTAAGACAAACGATGCTCAGGTTCACAATCAGCATTCGTGTTTGTTTGTAGTAGTTTCCAAAGTGGCTAGGTGGGATGATCTTACGGCCGGAGCTGGTTTTGGAGTTTTACTGGTATTTATACGAGATCCCTGCGTTATTTCAACCTGTAGAATGTGCTAACATTATGGGGACGGTTTGGTAGTCTAACGGATAACGCGTTCGTTTGTTTCAATTTGTGACTGCTTTCGAACATCAGACTGACCAACCGTTGGCATTCCGGGTTCGAATTGGTCACCAGCAACCCATGCTTGTCGCGAGAGGCGTCAACAAGGATCGTGTGGTCCGGCATGCTGACTCGGTTTACTGCGTGTCATCGTATCCCAGTTGCGTGGGATGGTAATCCTGTGGTCAATCACTAGATTGTCTGGTCCATTCAGCTGAAATATTGCTGAGTGCGGCGTTAAACAACAAACAAAAAGCAAATCAGAATGTGACGACACATTTGAACACAACATGATAGTGTTAGTATCGTAAGTTGTGAATACGGGTGGGGTAGTGGTTAAAGCGTTCGCTTGTCATGCCGAAGACCGGTGTTCGAATCGATTCCCCATATGGGTACACTGTGTGACACCCCTCACCACCACCACCACTACAACACCCCAAACACTCCCGACCGCCTTCATATTGCTGAAATATTGATAACAGCGGCATAAAATAATATTCAGTCATTGTAAGATTCTCATAGTTGTTGGATTAGAATACAATGTAACAATTCTTACATCTTTTCTATTTCACGCTTATGTTATGACAATGTGAGTGAATGTTGTTATATTTCGCTCTGTCATTTCTATTCTTGTGACAAAGATACAAATATAGATACCCCTTTTGAACTGCCATCCATAATGGAACTGTAGAGTGAGTGAGTTGGATTTTACTCCGCTCTTTAGCAATACTCCAGCAATATCATTGTGGTGGCGCCAGAAATGGGTTCGCACATTCTACCCATGTCGGGAATCGAACCCAGACCTTCGGCGTGACGAGCGAACGCTTTAACCACTAGGCTACCCGCCCTAGGAACTGCGGAACGCGTGGCTGTCTGTCTACAGTGACGACACAGAAATACTTCTGTTGTGACATGCATAGGGTTTCCAAGCTGTCAGGGCTGTTCCGGATTGTACTGCTATTAATGTTACATCCTATTGTGAGATGAGTCAGTCAGAAGCCTACTTGAGGCATTTTAAGGATGTGTTTCCGACGTCTAATACCTCCACATGCAAATCTTTGAGGGTTTATCACTACAAACTGTCATCTGTTTTGTCAGTAGTGTCTCATACTGTGGCGTTACTCACATTCTATGTGAAGAAAATAAGAAAACAGCTTAATAAATATACACAAAAAACTTGAATAACTCATAATATCTAATTTTATCTGAAAATTGGAATGTATCATTAATAATTACCATACTCATTGTCACCAGCAAAAGTGATATTCACTATTGTAGACAATTTCGCATTTTACTTTTTGTTCCATTTTTCTCTTCTTGAAAGTTCATTCGTTTTGTTATTTAATCCAATCATAATTTTTGTTATTAGCCAAAATGGTATTCACTAATTTAGATCATTTCGCATTGTACCGTTTGAACCATGTTTTTCTCTTCTTGAAATTTCGTTCGTTTTCTTATTTCCAATGTTTGCCTATCAACCGGTGCACTGTCACATACTCAAGGTCGTAGTGTGAATATGTCAAGCGGTCAGTAGCACGTGACCATATGACGTATGACCTTGTACACCTGGGTCGCCCTAACCCTGGACAGTGGTCAAGCAGGTCAGGCGGTACAGCCGACCCCCTGTTTATTGCCATCTAGCGCCAGTGAGTGCTATTTATGCAACTGTATCAGACAAGGTTGTGTTATGAGCTTGCTATTATTCATTAAAAATGTATCCGGTTATATATACGAACATGGACATTAATTCCGGGGTAGAACCCATGCTTGCCGTAAAAGGCGACAATGCTTAACGTAGGAGGCGACTAACGGCGACACACACACACACACACACACACACACACACACACACACACACACACCACCGTCCCACTTATAATAAATTGCCAGTCCCTTGGAATATTTTGTGAATTTCACATCCACACTCATGTCCCCGCAATGACACTCTGTCATTGTAGCTGAATGTGATGGTAGGGTATTGAAGCGGGATGATGTAAAGATGTCCAGAAGCGACTCTGTAATTTAATTGAATTTAAAGAGGGGCAACAGAATAATAATGCAGTAGTGTGCACCCTGCATAAAGCACAAAGGCTCACAGAAAGTCGACTGTTTGAAAGTGTTACACAATACATGAGAAACATCTTGTCTGCAAAAAAACACATTGCGAAAAAACGTCTTGCCTTGAAAAAACACGTTACGAAAATAACCTCCTACAGAAATACTACACATCTCAAGATAAATGTCTTTGTTTAAGCATCATTTGCTTTCATGTTTGAGATAAGCATTTTTCGACTAATATCTTAATTGAGGAAAACAAGAAATAATACCTTGCAGCTGATTTCATCATTTGTGTGATTTTCAATTGAAAACATGTTAGGTTAGCGATATTATATCAAAGAAATTTGGGGGCCTAAGGCGCCGCGATTCGCTGTGCAGAGTTGCGTCCCTTGGGCACACAAGAACCCTATTATTGTGGGTTCGAATCCCGATTCGCCCCGATTATGTTTCTAGGTTTGACAGCACCATACTCGTGCTCGTTGGTTTCACCAAAGTGGTGAACGTCCGAGACCGGCATCACTTCGGTCTTTCCTCCCACAAAAAGCTGATACGCCGTGATATTACTGGAATAATGTTAAAAGCGGCGTTAAACCCAACTCACTCTAAGAAATTAACTGTATTGGCGCTTAGTCAGCACTTAAAGTATACTTCTAGGCGGTTTTATTTTAAAACATATTATTTGATTTGGAACTGTTTTTTTAAATTAAATACAAATTTAAACTGCTGATGTGTATGTTAGACATCTTATCCATAAATTTGTTTTTTTCGGCACGGATTTACAATATTTCAAACATGTGGTTGCAAATTAATATCTTATCCCAGTGTTCATTGAACCATTATATTTTTCCGTAAAATTACCAAGCCACAGATTGTTTTTTACAAACTGTTGCAGCAGTGAGTGATATTTAAATAGACATAATAAAATAAACAAGAGTCCTTTCAATTGTCAATGACATAAAAAAAAAAAAAATCGGTATACTTTCTTTTGCTCCTCAGTTTATATGCTCTCCCATCCCCACCAGAACCCCCAGGAAATCAAATGTCACACACACATGCAATGGCAAGTCAATTGTTCACCTGGCAAAACACGGGAACGTATTGTACAAGTCAAAATAGGAAATTGCATCGGACAGCATTTTGTGTCACTGATGCGTCAAATTAATTTCCTCCACTGATCTACTATAAAAGCTTTTGAAAGCCAAAAACAATCATTTTCCCCTACAAGCCACAGCACATCCCACGCCTACCCCAACCCAAACAATGTCTAAATTATTTCACGTTACATTGAAGGTTATTATTAACAATAAACGCGTGGATTCCGGTGGTAATCATACGGGAGTTAAAGGTCAAACCAGATGGTCAAGTTGACACAGTCGGGATGGCTGCATCTCTCGCTCAGTCAGCCAGTATGGCATCCAGTATATGTGGCATTCTAATCTATGCTGGACGTTTTCGGAGCAAAACTAGACTACTTAATTACACGGTGTCATGTTTCATGAACGAAAATGAAACTAATTAATGCAAGGGGGGTCCCCGAACAGTTATTCCATTGAGTGACACGCATATCTGTTTAAACGTATAATGACTACATTTGGTGTTGCACAAACGTGACCCAACAGCTATGAATTCTATAAAGGGATTTAAATTTTCAAATAAAGTCAAAGGAGTTTATATAATGTTTATTTGTTCAGGCTTGTGTTGTAATTTCGCACAATAACGTATTATGAATTAAAGCAGTCTTTGTCATTTCGCTTTCAGATTTATTCACAATAAGGTGTAGACTCTTTTAATAAGCTTCTGAACTGCATAAAGTGTTAAATTTGCTTTCAAAACGTTTTATGGCAGACGCGTGGGGGACATTTCCACGTTTGACCCATCAGTGAAAAAAATTATGTTGGATGAAATTTCCTATTTTGACTCGTATCATATCTTCCTGTTTTTGTAGGTGAATACTTGACTTGCCTTTGCATGTGTTTGTGACGGGTGCCACTGGTGGGGCAGGATACGCTCACCTCTTTGTATTATGG